AACTGTCAGTCACCGGCTCTCTGCTCCCTTTAGACCGAGAGCGGTTTTTGATTGCTCGGTCCTTGGTCTTAGAGACCGTGGGGGATAGATGCAGAATCTTTTAAAGTAAAAAATACAAAAATTAACTTTAGAAGGATGATAAAGTTCTTAGGAGTGTTTGTGTGAGGATTAAATTTAATGGGCCTCATTTATGACCCAAAAAAGTCTGCCTTGCATATGACAACTGGACTTCAGCTGTCGTTTTTGTAGAGTAGGTTGGAATATTTGACATCCGGTTGCAACACAACACTTGGTGGAGTTCGGTGCCACTAATTCTGCGGATTAAAGACCTAAAAAGCGTGCCATAGCTCTACGTTTTGTTGTTGGTTACAATGCTGTACTCTGCAGAAATTTCTTAGATCACCAGCAATTGACCACCCTCAGACTTTTCACCAGTTCAGCAAAAGCAGCGGCGGACGGATGTGTGTCACAGTGAGTCAGCTGACCCCTCCGTCTTGTCCGCTGCCCAGCGCTCCAGTGAGTGCTGGAGAGGCAGAGCAGAGGGCCGGTGACTGTCAGTCACCAACTCTGCTCGCTTTAGACCGAGAACTGAACGATCACCGGTCTTTGATTGCTCGGTCTTTGGTCTTGGAGACAGTGGGTGACAGATGCAGAATCCTAGGTAAGTATAAATGTTTATTTTTTTCAATCCCCAACTTCTCTTTTAAAGTAAAAAATTAGCTTTAGAAGGAAAATAAAGTTCTTAATGAGCGTTAGAGGGTTTGTGGAAGGATTACATTTAATGGGCCCCTTTTTTGACCCAAAAAAGTCTGCCTTGCATATGACAACTGGACTTCAGCTGTCGTTTTTGTAGAGTAGGTTAGAATATTTGACATCCGGTTGCAACACAACACTTGGCGGAGTTCGGTGCCACTAATTCTGCGGATTATACACATAAACAGCATGCCATAGCTCTACATTTTGTTGTTGGTTACAATGCTATACTCTGCAGAAATTGCCAACCAGCTTAGATGACCAGCAATTGACCACCCTCAGACTTTTTACCAGTTCAGCAAAAGCAGCGGCGGACGGATGTGTGTCACGGCGAGTCAGCTGACCCCCTCCGTCTTGTCCGCTGCCCAGCGCTCCAGTGAGTGCTGGAGAGGCAGAGCAGAGAGCCGGTGACTGTCAGTCACCGACTCTCTGCTCGCTTTAGACCGAGAACCGAACGATCACTGGTCTTTGATTGCTCGGTCTTTGGTCTTGGAGACAGTGGAGGACAGATGCAGAGTCCTAGGTAAGTATAAATGTTTGTTTTTTTCAATCCCAAACTTCTCTTTTAAAGTAAAAAATTAGCTTTAGAATTGTTTTTGTAGAGTAGGTTGGAATATTTGACATCCGGTTGCAACACAACACTTGGCGGGGTTCGGTGCCACTAATTCTGCGGATTAAAGACCTAAAAAGCGTGCCATAGCTCTACGTTTTGTTGTTGGTTACAGTGCTGTACTCTGTAGAAAGTTCTGTCCAGCTTAGATGACCAGCAATTGACCACCCTCAGACTTTTCACCAGTTCAGCAAAAGCAGCGGTGGAAGGATGTGTGTCACGGTGAGTCAGCTGACCCCTCCATCTTGTCCGCTGCCCAGCGCTCCAGTGAGTACTGGAGAGGCAGAGCAGAGAGCCGTCACCGGCTCTCTGCTCCCTTTAGACCGAGAGCGGTCTTTGATTGGTCGGTCCTTTGTCTTAGAGACAGTGGGGGACAGATGCAGAATCCTAGGTAAGTATAAATGTTTGTTTTTTTTCAATCCCAAACTTCTCTTTTAAAGTAAAAAATAAAAAATTAGCTTTAGAAGGAAAATAAAGTTCTTAATGAGCGGTAGAGGGTGTGTGTAAGGATTAAATTTAATGGGCCTCATTTATGACCAAAAAAAGTCTGCCTCGCATATGACAACTGGACTTCAGCTGTCGTTTTTGTAGAGTAGGTTGGAATAGTTGACACCCGGTTGCAACCCAACACTTGGAGTTCGGTGCCACTAATTCTGCAGGTTAAACACATAAAAAGCGTGCCATAGGTCTACGTTTTGTTGTTTGGTTACAATACTGTACTCTGTAGAAATTTCTGTCCAGCTTAGATCACCAGCAATTGACCACTCTCAGACTTTTTACTAGTTCAGCAAAAGCAGCGGCGGATTGATGTGTGTCACGGTGAGTCAGCTGACCCCTCCGTCTTGTCCGCTGCCCAGCACTCCAGTGAGTACTGGAGAGGCAGAGCAGAGAGCCGGTGGCTGTCAGTCACCGGCTCTCTGCTCCCTTTAGACCGAGAACTGAACGATCACCGGTCTTTGATTGCTCGGTCTTTGGTCTTGAAGACAGTGGGGGACAGATGCAGAGTCCTAGGTAAGTATAAATGTTTTTTTCAATCCCAAACTTCTCTTTTAAAGTAAAAAATTAAAAATTAGCTTTAGAAGGAAAATAAAGTTCTTAATGAGCGGTAGAGGGTTTGTGGAAGGATTAAATTTAATGGGTCTCATTTATGACCAAAAAAAGTCTGCCTCGCATATGACAACTGGACTTCAGCTGTCGTTTTTGTAGAGTCGGTTGGAATACAACGCTTGGCGGGAGTTCGGTGCCACTAATTCTGCGGATTAAAGACCTAAAAAGCGTGCCATAGCTCTACGTTTTGTTGTTGGTTACAATGCTGTACTCTGCAGAAATTGCTGACCAGCTTAGATCACCTGCAATTGACCACCCTCGGACTTTTCACCAGTTCAGCAAAAGCAGCGGCGGACGGATGTGTGTCACGGTGAGTCAGCTGACCCCTCCGTCTTGTCCTCAGCCGTCCTCTGTGAGTCAGCTGCCCGCTTTATCGGAAGCAGCTCTTTGTGACTAAGAAACCCTTTTTAAGTCCGACCTTTTCCTTTTAATGGCCAGGATTGCCGGCCCCTCATTACCTGGATAAAATTTCCTCCCCTCCGTAATTGCAAACAGGCTTCTCCGCCTTGTGTCCTGCCGCTCGTTATTGACGTCCTGTGATTTTACAACCGCTAGTAAATGTTTATACCGCGGCTGGGCTTCCAAGTGCAGTGCAGCTAAGTCACAGCGTGCCAGGGTTGGCTTTGCCTCCAAGTACGCTGAGCATGGGAACAATTATATGGCATCTAAAAATGGTCATACACCATGCAATATTTGCACGCAATTTGCTGCAGTGGGGTGGCTATTGGGCCATGCGGGTGATAATGATCAAACTGTGTGTTGTAATTGTTCAATATTATACAATTAATGCTATGGGATTATGCTTCTCTTTTATTTGGGAGGAAAAAAAGGCTGAAGCTTGGTCAGGTAGGGGTTTGTGGGTGATTTTGATGCTCTGGTATTGTGAGAAGACAAGCAGATGTGTCATCACCTTTCATGGTTACACTTCCTGGAGGGTGAAGCTTAACTGAGACATAGAATCTAAGCACCAACTGGTCTTCACAAGAGCTATTGATTGTATAGATGGTCCAGGAAACCTTATGGCCCTTGGAGCTCTTTTCTGTGGGCTGGTACCAGGTTCCAGCCCTCAGAATCGCTCCACCAAGGGGTTAGTAAGGATAGAGAAGTTATGTTGTGAAGACTGTACACGAGGGAATCAGCGAGGTAATATTGGGGTCCAGGTGAAGGTCGGGGCTGGTGGTAAACCTGGAGAGTAGTCAGGCCAACCAGTTTAAATGCTGAGAAGACACAGCATGAGCCAATTACAAGGATGATGCTTCAATAACCTATAAGTCAGAGGACACACCTAGCATCCTTTCAGGGAGTTCTGGAAGTCCTGCCAGAGATTCTGCAAGTACCATTGGAAGTACTGGCGGAGAATCTTCAAGTAACATTGAAAGTACTCACAAGGATTCTGCATGTCGTAGCAGAGATTTTGTGAGTACCGTTGGAAGTACTGGCAGGGATTTTTGTGAACACCATTGAGAGTACTGGCAGGCATTTTAAAGACCTGGAGGTACTGTAACAACACATCTAATTCTCGGTACCACCTTTGCATATCTGTGATGAAGCTTAAAATTTATCTAATGTCAAGACTTTTGTAGGGTTAGAGTCTCTCCCTGGCTGGGGAGATTCACCTCTATGTGTCCTGGTGTCCTTTGTTGGGAGAGGAAGTGATGAGAAATTGTCTTTTACAGTTGCCACCAGAAGTGGAAGTAAGGGGAAATCTTCCAATGGGGACACCTGTTCCGGTGACAAAGGTGGGGTGGGCTTCCTCTACATTCATCCCTGTGCCTTTTAAGGAGGAGTGGGCTCCCTCCAAGAATACTTGCCCTTAATATGTTTATTCTTATATGTGCTCCTACTATGGAGGCTCTGGAAATATAGAGTTAGGATGCAGGCCATATATTATACTTTATTTCTTCGTTCAACTAGCGGGTTGAACGATTAAAATGTGCCAGTTTTCCCATCAACACACTCTGCGCTGATAGGGCAATCCTTCCCGCAGCACTATTGTGTCCTGCTGGTGGGGAGCCTTCCCCAATAGCAGAATACTGTGAACGGTGTTGCCAGCTAAAGCTGGCGTAACTAATCGTTAAGGAAAAACCCGACTGGTTGTACACAGGTTGATCGATTAGATCAACTTGTGTACAAGCAGCTAGCCCATACATTGATCAAAATCCGGCCAATCCCTTCTGGACTGGCCAAGTTACTATCTACGTATGGTTGGCTTAAGGCATCTTTTCTCAGTTAGGGTTCCTCCAGTGGTTGCTAGGGGTTCCCCTTCACCACTTGTGACAGTGACCTTCTTAGCTATCTGTATGGAACACATTCTTCCCACTGATCACCAATGTAAGGAGCATTCTTCCCACCGATCACAAATGTAAGGAGCATTCTTCCCACCGATCACAAATGTAAGGAGCATTCTTCCCACTGATCACCAATGTAAGGGACATTCTTCCCACTGACCACCAATGTAAGGAGCATTCTTCCCACTGATCACCAATGTAAGGGACATTCTTCCCACTGATCACCAATGTAAGGAACATTCTTCCCACTGACCTCCAATGTAAGGGACATTCTTCCCACTGATCACCAATGTAAGGGACATTCTTCCCACTGACCACCAATGTAAGGGACATTCTTCCCACTGATCACCAATGTAAGGGACATTCTTCCCACTGATCAACCAATGTAAGGGACATTCTTCCCACTGACCCCCAATGTAAGGGACATTCTTCCCACTGATCACCAATGTAAGGAACATTCTTCCCACTGATCACCAATGTAAGGGACATTCTTCCCACTGATCACCAATGTAAGGAGCATTCTTCCCACTGACCCCCAATGTAAGGGACATTCTTCCCACTGACCCCCAATGTAAGGGACATTCTTCCCACTGACCACCAATGTAAGGGACATTCTTCCCACTGACCACCAATGTAAGGGACATTCTTCCCACTGATCACCAATGTAAGGAACATTCTTCCCACTGACCACCAATGTAAGGGACATTCTTCCCACTGACCACCAATGTAAGGGACATTCTTCCCGCTGATCACCAATGTAAGGGACATTCTTCCCACTGACCACCAATGTAAGGGACATTCTTCCCGCTGATCACCAATGCAAGCTTCATTCTTCCCGCTGACCACCAATGCGTCATTCTTCCCACTGACCCCCAATGTAAGGGACATTCTTCCCGCTGACCACCAATGTAAGGGACATTCTTCCCACTGATCCCCAATGTAAGGGACATTCTTCCCACTGACCCCCAATGTAAGGGACATTCTTCCCACTGATCACCAATGTAAGGGACATTCTTCCCACTGACCACCAATGCAAGGGTCATTCTTCTCACTGACCATCATGTTAATGTATTGTGAGCTGTAGATAAAGTAATTATTAGCAGGGGTTCCCCGAGGCTGGAAAATTATTTTAGGGGTTGCTCCATGATAAAGAGGTCTAAGACATTGCTGCCTCTGACTGCTACTTTCATGAAATTTTGAAGTGAAATTTGGGGATGTCACTCATGTGCTGCTCTCTTCTCTCCTTGCTGTAGAAGAAGCCGTGTCTGAGGATTTGTAGTGCAAGTATCTCTCTGCTTCTGACTTATCCATTCTGTGGATCTGTGCTTCGTTCACCTCTCTTCAATTTCTTTTTTTTTTTTAAACTATGCCCTACCAGTCACATCACCAGTGATCGAGGGCTCTCGTATGAGGAAGCAAAGCCGTGTTTCTCCACTGAGATGACCACGTCTACTGAGATTTAGTGTCAAGCAGGGCATTGTAAGTTGGTAATGGAGAAAATAATCATCAACAGGGAGACCACAGGCAATACTGTTGACTAGTCCTTTGTTCTCTGCTTGCTTTTTTTTTTTCACACTGCTTCCATAGTACATGTCAGATTGCAAGCCTGCAATTACATCTCCCCTGTTTCTTTGTTAGTCTGTTGTCTGCCTAACTTTTGTTTCTGGGCCCTTTCAGTTGCTGTAAATTGAGGCTCTGGCCCTTGACGTCAGAATCATCTGCTAGCTTCTAGACTGTTCTGATTGGCTCTTGAATTCTACACTGCGTTCACCTTTATATAAACACTATAGACTGCCCGTCTTCAGATCTTTATACACTTTTTAATTTGATAGGCAGTACATTTAGATGTTGTCCTTCATGTTTTACCCAGTATGCTTGTGTCCATGGGAGAAATTTTGCGCGCTTGGCCGTTCCTTGTCATGTGTCACTGGGACTAAAAAAACAAGTCAATAAATGGTTCCGATTTCGGAACGCCTGCCCAAGGAGTGCGGGAATCGGCTCATTGGAGTTAGGGGCGGCGGAGTTCAGGCCGCGGAGAAAATGGCATTGTCATTGAGTAATGCTTGGCACGGGCTTACGCTGATCTCCAGCCACGCAAGGGAAGAGGGCGATTATTAGCAGATTGGGATGTGGTTTATAGGCCCTGAGATGAGAACTTTACACGTAGACGCCTCAGCGGCTTGTCATGCCACGGTCACCATGACACTCCTTAAATTCCTCCGTCTTCCAACAAACCCAAAAAATTGATTTGGGCGGAACGGTAGATAGGACGCCCGTATTCTTCATTCCCTTCTCACAGCCTTTGCATGCTCGCAGCACTAATAAGGTTGCCACTTGGCCCTGCATGAGAGGGATCCATTCGAGCCAGCTACACTTGCCACCTGGCTCGCCGTCACCAGACCAGATCCAGCCCATCAAGTCTTCACATCTGGATGACGGGAAAGCTTTTAAAAGGCTTCTATCGCACAGGCTTGGTCCTGCGCCTCTCCTTATTTGCTACAGCTCCCTGGGGAAAGTCTGGTTGTCGTTGAGACAGAAAAAAAAAAAGTGACCCACGTTTGCTTCCGGAGAGCGAACAAGCTTCAGTAAGAAGCAGCCGTGTCCTCACTGAAGGGCAGTGATTCTATTGGCTGTAAAGATTTGGTCTACATCTGTGTGGGGACATATGGCATCATTTAACGTAGAATCTAAATTAAGTCCTGCTCTTGTCATCCATTGCAATCAATTATTATTATTATTATTATACAGTATTTATAAAGCGCCAATGGTTCGCTCAGCGCTGTACATTATAATGGGGGACAGAACATGTGACAGAACAATACCAATACAATGCAAAACATGAGGGGATCGAGGGCCCTGCTCTTTCGAGCTTACAATCTAGGAGGGAGGGGATGGTGGTACAGGAGGAGATAGCTGTGGGGGATGGATTGGTAGGAAGAGTGGAGGAGGTCGGTCAAGTTAGCAGGGGTTGGGGTAGGCTTCCCTGAAGAGATGGGTTTTCAGGGTGCGCCTAAAGGAGAGGAGAGTAGGTGATAATCTGATGGGTTGGGGCAGGGAGTTCCAGAGGATGGGTGACACCCTGGAGAAGTCCTGGAGGCGGGCATGGGAGGAGGAGACCAGGGAACTAGAGAGAAGGAGGTTTTGTGAGGAGCGGAGTGTGCGTGTTGGGTGGTACTTGGATATTAGGTCAGTGATGTAGTTCAGGGCAGTATGGTGGACGGCTTTGTACGTCAGTGTTAGGATTTTGAATTTGATCCGTTGTGCAATCGGAAGCCAGTGGAGGGATTGGCAGAGGGGGGTGGCGGAGATGGAGCGGTTGGAAAGGTGAATGAGTCTGGCAGCCGTATTCAGGATGGACTGAAGTGGGGATAGCCAGCGGCGAGGCAGGCCAGTGAGGAGGGAGTTGCAGTAGTCGAGTCGTGATATGATGAGGGAGTGGATGAGCTGTTTAGTGGTTTCTGGGGTTAGGAACGTGCGGATTTTGGCGATGTTGCGGAGGTGGAGTCTGCATGTTGCGGAGGTGGAGTCTGCACGAGTTTGTTAAAGATTGGACTTGGGGCTGGAAGGATAGGTTGGAGTCCAGAATGACACCAAGTACTCTGGCCTGCGGGGCGGGTTTGATGGTGGCGTTGTTGGACGTCATGGAGAAGTCAATGGGGGGTGGGGTCCGGGCTGGGGGGAAGACAAGAAACTCGGTCTTGGAGAGGTTCAGTTTAAGGAAGTGGAGCGACATCTAGTCTGATATGTCGCTCAACAGGTGTGTGATTTGGGCGGAGACCGAGGGGGTGAGGTGGGGGGTTGAGAGATAGATTTGTCAATTAGATTTTACCATACATTACTGAAAATAAATATAAAACAATTGCCTGGTTGTGCTAGGCCAGTCGTGGCACTCTTTAAAATTTTCAAACTTCTGAGGCACCCAAATTTAAAAAAAAAAACCTTAAATGTTACTTATCATTGGGAAACATGAGTCTGGGATGATTGCAAACAAATGCTTTGATAAACTTAACTTTACATCAGAGGTCCCCCCCTTCACTTCAGAGGCCCCTTCATTGCAGAGTCTCTCCATCAAATTCCCCATCACAGAGCCCCCTAATTACATCTCATCACATCAGAGTCCCCCAATCACAGAAACAGAACTCTTGTCAGCGCTTCAGGTAGAAAAGGCCCTTAAGACGAGTAAGTCCACATGTAGGCTCAGAGCAGGCTCTTCAGTCTTGTCAGTAGGGATAAGTAGCCACCAATGAGGACTTTGCATCACACACTACATCTGCCTTGCTGCCCACCTCAATTCGGGGTAAAAAAATAATAATAAAACAAACATAAGGTGCATTGGCCTCGTGCATTACCTTAGGACTCTTATCATATACTCACAAAATGTATCAGTTCCCATTGAACCACTGGAAACTTGTCCATCCACAAGGGTGTAACTTACGTGTTTCAAGGGCAATTTCCTCTTCCTCAGAGCTCTGAGAAAGAGGACATTGCCCTTGAACTGTGTAAGCTACACCCTTGTGGATGGACAAGTTTCCAGTGTCGTGATGAGAACTGATACATGCACTGTATTGTGTACCTTTGTTAGTTACATAGTTAGTCTGTCTGAAAAAAGACAAAAGTCCATCCAGTTCAACCATTTAAAAAAAAAAAAAAAAAGTTTTAATCCTAAACCAACAGTTGATCCAGAAGAAGACAAAAAAACCCAGCAAAGCACGATTTAATTTGCTCCTGCATGGAAAAGAATTCCTTCCTGATCCCCCGAGAGGCAATCGGATATTCCCTGGATCAACTTTCCCTATAAATGTTATATCCAGTTATATTCTGTGTATCCAAGAAAGAATCCAGGACTTTCCTACAGCAATCCACTGAGCTGGCCACAACCAACTCTGGAGGGAGTCTATTCCACATTTTCACAGCTCTTACTGTGAAGAAACCTTTCCGTGTTTTGGAGATTAAATTTCTTTTTCTCCAGACGTAAAGCGTGCCCCCTTGTCCTCTGTGATGATCTCAGGGGGAATAACTACACCGAGTTCACTATATGAACCACTGATGTATTTATACATGGAGATCATATCCCCCCCCCTTATGTATTATACATGGAGATCATATCCCCCCTTATGTATTATACATGGAGATCATATCCCCCCTTATGTATTATACATGGAGATCATATCCCCCCTTATGTATTATACATGGAGATCATATCCCCCCCCCTTATGTATTATACATGGAGATCATATCCCCCCCCCTTATGTATTATACATGGAGATCATATCCCCCCTTATGTATTATACATGGAGATCATATCCCCCCCTTATGTATTATACATGGTGATCATATCCCCCCTTATGTATTATACATGGTGATCATATCCCCCCTTATGTATTATACATGGTGATCATACCCCCCCTTATGTATTATACATGGTGATCATATCCCCCCCTTATGTATTATACATGGAGATCATACCCCCCCTTATGTATTATACAGTCATGGCCGAAATTGTTGGCACCCTTGATATTTTTCCTGAAAATCAAGTATTTCACACAAAAAAGGTATTGCATTAACACATGTTTTGCTATACACATGTTTATTCCCTTTGTATGTATTGGAACAAATATAAAACAGAGGCAGAAAAGCAAATATGACATAATGTCACACAAAACCCCAAAAATGGGCTGGACAAAAGTATTGGCACCCTTAACTTAATATTTGGTTGCACACCCTTTGGAAAACATAACTGAAATCAGTCGCTTCCTATAACCATCAATAAGCTTCTGACACCTCTCACCCGGAATTTTGGACCACTCTTCCTTTGCAAACAGCTCCAGGTCTCTCTTATTGGAAGGACACCTTTTCCCAACAGCAATTTTAAGATCTCTCCACAGGTGTTCAATGGGATTTAGATCTGGGCTCATTGCTGGCCACTTCAGAACTCTCCAGCGCTTCTTTGCCATCCATTTCTGAGTGCTTTTTGACGTATGTTTGGGGT